TGCTTGTCCGTCTTCCTCTTCTTCGCAGAATCTGAGGTTCCACCCCCGCGTGGAATGCTTGTTGTGGCAGCCTGTTTTTTTTTGGTCGGCGAACTTCACGGAATTCTTGTGTTTCCCGGGTTCCCTTGCGTTGTTGTTTCGAGGTTTGGCCGCTACGCTCGAGGTATAGCTCCTGTGTTGGATTGCCTCCTCGAGCTTGTCCACCCGTTCCATCAGCGCTTGATTTTCAGCCGCTAACTGGGTGTCAGTTGGGTCGCACGTGGAGGACACGGCAGGGTCTGCATCAGTGGCCCGTATCGGAGATTGTCTCAACATGTTTGACTCGTGTTTTCGAGCGCGTCCTTTGGATTCCATGAAGGTTTCGTTGGCATACTCCCGAAGCATTTCATTCTCCACACATCCGAACTGAAACCTTCATGGAATCCAAAGGACGCGCTCGAAAACACGAGTCAAACCGGTTGAGACGATCTCCGATACGGGCCACTGATGCAGACCCTGCCGTGTCCTCCACGTGCGACCCAACTGACACCCAGTTAGCGGCTGAAAATCAAGCGCTGATGGAACGGGTGGACAAGCTCGAGGAGGCAATCCAACACAGGAGCTATACCTCGAGCGTAGCGGCCAAACCTCGAAACAACAACGCAAGGGAACCCGGGAAACACAAGAATTCCGTGAAGTTCGCCGACCAAAAAAAAACAGGCTGCCACAACAAGCATTCCACGCGGGGGTGGAACCTCAGATTCTGCGAAGAAGAGGAAGACGGACAAGCACACCGTCACGAACCCCTGCGACTTCTTCCTATGCCGGAACCACTCCGGCAGGTTCACCCACACGAGGGACGAGTGTAACCACATCCGTGAAATGGAAAAAGGAGGCATGCAACTCGTCAGGAAGTAGGGTTGCCCAACGCAGCAGTACCTCTCGGCTGACGTGGGAAATATGTCGCTTGGAAAATAATCAGTACTCGGAACGAGGGGAGCTGACCACCAACAAACCGTGTGGAAACGTTCCAAGTTAGACAAGAGGGACAAAGAACACCGAAAAAAGCGTGTTCACCCTCTGGTGGGAAAAAAGCAGGAAGCATATAAGGTGCACCGCAGACAAGCAGCCGTAGCACCGCGTGTTAGGCAACCCGGCGTGATAGAAGAGTCGCGTCGAGTAAGTCTAGACAGGAGTGTTCAAGTAGCTGAGGCGGTAGACACCGTTGCCCCAGCCAGCAGTAGCAGCGAAGCCGCAAAAGACGCGGGTAGAGTAAAGACAGCCGCGACCGTGCGCTGCAGGCTCTATACGTAGCTACAATAGCTGGAGGTCTCAAGTCGAAGCATAGGTCTAGAAAATTGACTGCCGACAACAATAATGACAATTTTCTGCGTTCCACATGTCAGCGCTAGCTGGATATCCTGAAACTCCATCCGCGTTGAACGCTTCGTCAAAACGCGTACGCGTACCTGCCAGAGTAAACAATCAATCGGTTGATCAAGTTACAATTGATACAGCGTGTGACGTACCGTGTATCTCCGCAGAATTTATGTGCAGTCACCAAACGCTGAAAAACACGGAAAATTTTCCCGTGCCTCCCGGAGCCATAAACCTGCGTAGTGCAGATGGCTCACCTCTTAAAATTTGAGGATACACTCGTTTTGAACTAACACTGGGAGAAACAACAATTCCTGTCGAAGCACTAGTGTTGCCGTCGCTAGGACCTGACAAAATGCTGTTAGATAATAGTATCATGGGAGCATTCGGCGCTGTGTTAGATTGGCAAGCGGAACAGCTGTCATTCAAGAATTCCGGGGTAAAAATACCCGCAACACACCGCAAATCGCAACAAACCGTGACTGCGGGGGCAGATGAAATCAACTGCTCAATAGTAGCTTATGACGGTGATACCGAACCAGTACCTGTCTACCTCAGCAAGAAATGCTGCGTTCCTGCCCAACATGAAATAGCGATAGAAGTGCACTCAAGCGAAGCTCCGGCGGAAACAACACCAGCTTTGATAGAACCACGCATAGTCACAACGGAAGACATGCAGGTGAAGGGTGTCCCACAAGCATTTCGCAGGATAAAAATTCACGGACTGTGTGTCACTGGTCCGCGAATAACAAAGGAGCGGTGGTCCAAATAGCCAATCCCTCCAATCGACAGGTGTACCTCAAGGAAAACACGCTTGTAGGGTACATTTCTCCTGTGAAGACAGTGTTGCCGCAAACAGCGAGCAGCGTTCAAACGAGTAAAGAGGACACGGAAAAACACCGTCAAGACCTACAAAAGGCACTTTCCAAAGCTTTCAACAATGCCACCTTTTCGCCAGATCAATGTGAATTTATACTGCAATTGTGTACGAAATACCGTTCAGTTTTCTCATTAACGCCTGACGAACTAGGTAAGTGTACTATCGCGGAAGCTGATTTTCCCCTACAACCAGGAACAAAGCCTGTAAATAGGGCTCCGTACCGCGCAAATCCACGCGTGCAGGAGGTAATCGACAAATGTGTTTACGAAATGGAAGAAGCGGGCGGGAATTGTCGAACAAAGACCTAGCCCGTTGGGATCAGCAGTAACGTTGGTAGCAAAAGCTGACGGCTCTCCCCGGTTCTGTGTAGACTACAGAGCCACGATCAATAAAATTTTGATTCGTAAATCGTGGCCGATGCCGGAAATGGCTAGCCACATTGATACAGTAGCGGGTGCAATATTCATTACTGTATGTGACGTACAAAGCGCGTACCACCAAATACCAATCGCCGAGGAAGAACAAGACAAAACGGCATTCGTAACACGAAATGGGAAATGGGTTTTCAAAAGACTTCCCTTTGGGATTGCTAACGCTCCCTTCCTCTTTCAACGGACAATGGCGTTGGCGTTTGCACATTTTGGTCCCAAATCCGGGCTCCTAGTGTACATGGATGACTTAATCTGTTGTTCATCGACATGGGAGGGACACTTAAAACTGTTGGAAAACACGTTCCAAGCTTTGCAAGCAGCAGGGCTCACCTTGAAACCATCCAAAGTACAATTCGGAC